TTATATGCCTACTATGTGCCAGTGCTGGGCTCTGGCCAGCTCTAGCTCTGGTTATTTCTTGGGCACAAGACAAAAAGGAAATAGCACCTGTCCTCAAAAAACTTATACTCTTCTGGGTTCTTTGATTTTCAGGTGACAGTCATTCAATAGCACTTACTAAGTAGCTATTATGTGCCAGGAACCTTGCTAAGTGCTGAGGATTCAATGTAAGACAAAATTTAAAAATGGCACCCGCTCCCAGGTAGTCTAATAAAGGAGACAATATGCAAATTACTATATTCAAACAAGATCTATACATGGTAACTGAAGGGTAATCTCCAAGGAAGAGCACTGATCCCAATGGATCTTTGTCTCTTCCTCCTCTCACCACATCCCATCTCATTCTAGTATCTCAAGTTAAATCCCTTCCCTTGTTTGAGGTAACATGTGCTCATAAAAGACCCATTGCTTTTTGTATTATTGGCCTGTTTGCACCTGCTGTGGAAATTTCTAAGCCCCTCAAAAGCAGTACATCAGACTGGATCAGAGACAGAGGGAGGATTATGAACTGTTGAGAGAAACTGGGAAGGGGCATTCCAACAGATAGGAAGAGAACCAGGAGAAAGCAATACCATGGAAACCAAGGTAAGGCAGACTAGCCAGAATGAAGAAATCGATAGTGGGAAATGCTGCTGAAAGGTCAAGGAAGTTAAAGACTTAGAACAGGACATTGGATTCAATAATTAAGAGATCATTGGTGACAGGAAAGCTGGATTGCAAGGGGAAGAGGAGTGAGGAAATGGGTGAGGAGCAGCAAGTGTAGATTAATTCTTTCTCTAAATTTATCAATGAAACGCTACAACATTTATCATACATCTACTATGTTAGAAATACTACGCTAAACACTAGGGGAGATAATATTTAGAGTCACTCCTTGCTGTCTTCGAGCATACAGTATAAAAGAGGGATTTTTTGAAAAGTAACACAAAATAATACACCAGCTTCTGATATAATTTACTTGAAACTGCTCTCTTGAAAAGTCACCAGTGATTCCTTCCTGCCAAATCTAATAGCCTCTAATTGATACTCATTCTTCTTGACCCCTGTAAAGTCTCTGATACTGTTGATCATCCTTCTCCTCTCTGGTCAACATTGCTGTCTCCTGGTTCTCCTCCTACTTGTCTGACCACTCCTTCCCTCCCTCCTTTGCTGTATCTTCCTCCAGGTGAAATTCACTAACTGTGGGCATAACTAACCAACAGTCTGTCCTGGGCCCTCTTCTCTCTCTCCTTAACTTTTTTTCTGTCATAGTTGTCTAGTGGAGCCTATGAACTCATTCCTAAAGTAATACTTTTTTTTTTTTTTGCTTTTTGGTGAGGTGATTGGGTTAAGCAACTTGCCCAGGGTCACACAGTAAGTGTCAAGTGTCTGAGGTCAGATTTGAATTCAGGTCCTCCTGACTCCAAGGCTGGTGCTCTATCCACTTTGCCACCTAGCTTCCCCCCCCAGAATAACACTTTTAAATGCATAAAATAAAATATGTAGGATTGTAAAGGAAGCCACTTATACCAAAATGCAGTTATCAAAATTTTTTTCATAAAAAAAATTTTTAAACAAGTTCATGGACCCTTCATGGATCTGAGGAACCCAAGTTAAGAATCCCAGCTCTATACTTTCTCATTTGGTTGTCTTATCAGTATCCCTGGTTTCAATTTAATCTCTATACAGATGATTCTCAGACCTATTTATCTAGCCTTAACATTTCTCCTAACTTCTACTGGCATTATCAACTGCCTAATGGTCATCTTAAACAGAATGTCTTGTTGACATCTCAAACTTAACGGGTCTGAAACAGAATTCATTATTTCTACCCCTGCCCCCAAAATTATCCCTTTTTCCAAGCTTTTCTATTACTGTAGAAAACACTACAATCCTCTTAGTCACACCATCCTCAATTCCTTACTTGCATTCACCCTATCTGTTGCCAAATATTGTCATTTCCATATTCATAATAGCTTGGGCATGTTTGTGTATGTGTGTGTGTGTGTGTGTGTGTGTGTGTGTGTGTGTGTCTTTTCTCCACATATATCCTGGTGAAGGCCTTCATTACTTCATTCTTGGACTACTGTAATTACCTGATGGTTGGTCTCCCTGCCTTATCTCTCCCCACTCCAATCCATCCTCCATTCCTCTGCTAATGTGATCTTCCTAAAAGCCAAATCGGATAATTTCACCCTCCTACTCAATTAACCCAACGGTTGGCTTGTAAAGCCTTCACAACCTGGCCCTTTCCTACCTTTCCAATTCTTCTAACTTCCCTCTACGATTCAGCAACACTAGCCTTCTCATTTTTCCTCAAACACTATATTTTGTAAGCATAAAAATATCTGCATGTTGTCTCTCCCATTAGACTGGGACCTCTTTGAGGCCAAGGACCATGTTTTTTCTTTTCTTAGCGCAGCATTTGACATATAGTAAGGATTTAATAAATACTTGTTGACTCATTGATTGGCTACTAAAGGGGTATAAAGCAAATTTCCATGTGAAGCATAAGGATAAAGAAGGGAGGGATCAGGGAAAGTTTCATGGAGGATCAAATGAGATATTTGTAAAGTGCTTAGCACAGTGTGCCTGGCACATAGTAGGCACTATATAGATGCTTATTCCCTTTCCCCTTTCCTTTATGGGAGAAGTGATATTTGAGTTGAGGTTTCTTTGTTTTGTTTTCATTTTTTTGTTGTTGTTGTTGTTGTTTTTTGGCTAGGCAATGGGGTTAAGTGACTTGCCCAGGGTCACACAGCTAGTAAGTGTTCTGTGTCTGAGGCCGGAGTTGAACTCAGGTCCTCCTGAATCCAGGGCCAGTGCTCTATCCACTGTGCCACCTAGCTGCCCCTGAGTTGAGTTTTTTTAAAGGATAGACAGGAAGTCAAGTTGTGATGGGGGAAAAGGCACAGTGAACAATATGAGTAAAGATTCAGTGGTGAACCCAGGAACCCTATGAACACAATTACAAAACACTTTTCATAGAAATAAAATCAGATCTAAATAATGTGAAAAACATCAGTTGCTCATGGGTAGGCTGAGCTAATATAATAAAAATGACAATCCTACCTAAGCTAATTTACTTATTCAGTGTCATACCAATCAAACTACCAAAACATTATTTTATAGAGTTAGAAAAATAATAACAGGATTCATTTGGAAGAAGAAAAGGTCCAGAATATCAAAGGAACTAATGAAAAGAAATACAGGGAAAGGCCTAGCAATTCCAGATCTTAAATTGTATTATAAAGCAGCAATCATCAAAACTGCTTGGTACTGGCTAAGAAATACAGTGGTGGATCAGTGGAATAGGTTAAATATGCAAGACACAGTAGTCAATGACGATAGTAATCTATTATTTGAGAGACCCAAAGACCCTAGCTTCTGGGATAAGAACCCACTCTTTGGAAAAAAACTGCTGGGAAAACTGGAAAAGAGTATGGCAGAAACTAGGCATAGGCCCAAATCTCACACCATATACCAAAATAAAGTCAAAATGGGTTCATGATTAGATATAAAGGCTGATGCTATAAGCAAACTGGGAGAACAAGGAATAGTTTACCTATCAGATCTATGGAGAACAGAAGAATTCATGACCAAACAGGAGATAGAGAACATTATGAAAAGCAAAATGGATAATTTTGATTACATTAAATTGAAAAGTTTTTGCACAAACAAAGCCAATGCAACTAAGATTAGAAGGAAGGTAGAAAATTGGGAAAGAATTTTTACAACCAGTCTCTCTGATAAGGCCTCATTTCTAAAATATATAGAGAATTAAGACAAATTTATAAGAATACAAGCCGTTCCCCAATTGATAAATGGTCAAAGGATATGAACAGACAGTTCTCAGATGAAGAAATTAAAGCCATCTATAGTCATATGAAAAAATGCTCTAAATCATTATTGATTAGAGAAATGCAAATCAAAACAACTCTGAGGTACCACATCACACCCGTCAGATTGGGCAACATGACAAAACAGGAAAATGATAAATGTTGGAGAAGATGTGGGAAAATTGGAACACTAATGCATTGTTGGTGGAGTTGTGAAATGATCCAACCATTTTGGAGAAAAATTTGGAAACTAACTGCCCAAAGGGCTATAAAAATGTGCATACCCTTTGACCAGCAATAGCACTTCTAGGCCTATATCCTAAAGAGATCATCCGAATGGGAAAAGGACCCACATATACAAAAATATTCACAGCAGCTCTTTTTGTGGTGGCAAAGAATTAGAAATTGAGAGGATGCCCATCAATGGGGGAATGGCTGAGCAAGTTGTGGTATATGAATGTAATGGAACTCTATTATGCTATGAGAAATGATGAACGGGCTGACTTCAGAAAAACCTGGGAAGACTTGTATGGTCTGATGCTGAGTGAAGTGAGTAGAATCAAGAGAACGTCATACACAGTAACAGCCACGTTGTACAATGACTAATATTGATAGACTTAACCCTTCTCAGCAATACAAGGATCTAAGACATCTCCAGAGGCCTCGTGATGAAAAATGCTATCCACATCCAAAGAAAGAACTATGGAAGTTGAATCACTATCTTGTCTTTTCTCTTCTGTTGAGTTTTGTTTCCTCTTTCTGATGATTCCTCCTATTGGTTTTAATTTTTACTTCCAACTTCACTAATGTGAAAATATGTTTAATAGGAATGTAAATGTATAGCCTATATCAGATTGTGTGCTGTCTTGGGGAGGGTGGTAGGGAGGAAGGGGGAAAAAATTTTAAACTCAAAAGCATATGGAAGTGATTGTTGATAAATCAAAATAAATTAATTAAAAAAAAAGATTCAGGGGTGGTGAAGTTCGGGACGTGTTTGGGGAAAGAAAGAAATCCAGTCTGGCTAGAACATAGAATGCATGAAGGGCAGCAATATGAGATAAGTAAAGCTAGAAATATAGGGTAAGGCCAAGTCATGGAAGGCCTTGGATACAAGGCGAAGGAATTTGTATTTTCTCTTACGAGGCAATCAGAACCACTGAACATCTGTGAGCTTTGGAGGGATACAATGAGATCTATGCATCAGAAAGATAAGTCTGACAGTGATGTGAAAGATGATTTTGAGGTGAGAAAGAGGGGAGATGGAAAGATCTGGAACAGCAATAGTCCAGGTGAGTGATAATGAAGGCCTGTATAAAAGTGCTATGATGGGAACAGGAAAGAGGGAAAATAATTAAGAGATATTCCGCAAGTTGATTCAACCAAACTGTGTAATTGATTGAGTGTGAAAGGTGAGGGAGAGAGAATTGAGAGCCAAACTTTTAAGTATAGGTGATGTAGTAGAGTGCCAAGCCTAGAGGAAGGAACTTTTCCTGAGTTCATATCTGGCCTCAGACACTTCCTAACTGTGTGACCCTGGGCAAGTCTTTTACCCTACTTGCCTCAATTTACTCATCTATAAAATGAGCTGGAGAAAGAAATGCAAACCACTCTAGTATCTTTGCCAAGAAAACCCCAAAAGGGGACACAACTAAAACAGACTAAATCACAATATATGTATGTATGTATTATGCATATGTGTATGTGTATATGTATGTATGTATGTGTATATATGTATGTATGCATGTGTGTGTGCGTATATGTGCATGTATGTATATATGATAGTGCTACAGATAGAAATAATGAAATCAATAAAACAATAAGCAGCAAAGTACTGGGCATGCAAAGATAAAAATAAAAATGGTTTTTGCCCCCATGAAGCTTACATTCTAATAAGAGGTAATATGTACATATAAGTAGATCAAAGATACAAAGCAGATACAAAATAACCTTGGATAGAAGACACTAGGAGCTGGAAAAAAAAATCAAGGATTCTAGGAAGTGGAGGTACAAAGAGAGAGAAAAGGGGGAAAGCCAGCACAAAGCTATAAAGATGGAAGATAGAGCATCGTATATGAGAAAGAGTAAACAGCCAACATGCCAGTATGACTATAGAGTTTATTTGGGAGGGAGGAGTAACCTTTGGTCAGGTAGGGAGGGACCAGGTTGTCAAGGGTTTTCAGTGCCAAATGGATGTTTTCCTTTGATCCTTAAAGGATCCACTGTAATTTACTGACTATGGAAGATATATGGTCAGAATGACACTTTAGGAAAATCGCTAGCAGCTGTGGGGAAAACGAATTGCAGTCTGGGAGAGAATTGAGGCAGGGAGTCCAGATAAGAGACTATTGCACAGTCCAAGCTGTAATAGTGAATTCAGAAGTAGGAGCAGGTTTGGAGGAAATCATATTAAGCTTGATTTTAGATATGTTTAATTTGAGGTGCCAGCAGGACATCCAGATCCTGCAGGGAGCTGAACAGGAAAGCTTGAAACAAAGATGAGAGATCAGGGCTAGAGTCAATGATTTCGAAGTTATCTGCACAGAGGTGGCAACTGAAGATGAGGGAGTAAATAAGCTTGTTAAGGGAAAGGGGAGAGAGAAAGAAGGTAAGGACAGACCCTAGAAAACATTGCATCACCACCACCACCACCATTAAATGGTTGAAAAAAGGATGGAGCAAATAAAGGAGATCGAAGAGCAGGTTGATAGAAGAACTAAGAGAATAAATATAGTGTCTCTGAAGCAAAGAAGAGAGTAACATTATCAAGAGCTTCAGAAAGAATGAGATCAAGGGGGATGAGAATTGACAAAAAAGGAAGGGGGGAGGGAACACTGGATTTTGGTGATTAGGACGTTAATGGTGCTCTCTGTGCCAGCATTTTCACTACAGTAGTGGAGCTAGAAGTCAGAGATCAAGGAACTAAGGAAAGAATGTGTGCAAGAAAGAACTAGAGGCATCAAGAATAGACAACTTTTTCGATAAGTTTAGCTGTGAAAGGGAAGAGAGAGATGGAACCAGCAATCCATGATCTGAGAAAAATCAGAGGGTAAGTTGTTCTTAGAAATGAAAGTTCCCACTCCGTCTCCTGTCTTTACATCTTCACACTGTCTGTCTCCCATCCCTGGAATGCTCTCTCGCCTCACCTCCAATTTGTAGTTTCTTTGGTTTCTTCCAAAACTCTGCCCAATCTTCTTCAGAAGGCCTTTCCCCATCCCCACAGATGCAAAGCTCCTTCTCTTCTGAAATGAACTTCCATTTAATCTATCTTTGATGTTAAGTGTTTAGTGTCTCCTCATTAGAATTTGAGTTCCTTGACCTTTTTTGCCTTTCTTTGTATCCCCAAAGCTTGCACATAGTAGGCACTTAATAAATGCTTATTGATTTGACTTGATTATATATTGTATGTTCCTAGTTATTTCCACATTGCTTCCCCCATTAGAATGTGAGCTTCTGGGCAGAGGGATTATTTGCCTTTCTTTGTATCCCAATTGCTTAGACCAGTGCTTGGCACATTGCAAGCATTTTATAAATGCTTGTTGACTTACTGGTCAAGGAGATAAGGAACTCTAAGGTAGTAGATAGTGAAGTATTGAAGTAGCAGAACAAGTGGTGCAATGGAGTATAGAGGCAAGCAAGGTCAGACTGGGTAAGATGACTGGGAAAACAGAACTGGATAAAGGAAGGACAAATAATAAGGTTGGTGGGAGGGAGGGAGAAGAAAAAAGTAGAAGAATTCTTAAAAATTCTTAATCTGGAAGGTGGCACAATCTTCATCTCATTCCTCTTCAGGCTGTACTTTGGACTTCTTCTATCATCCACACCCCCACTGGTACCTCCCACTTTTGCCTTCCTTTTATAGATCTTCCCCAATTAGAATATAAGCTCCTTAAGGGCAGGGACTGTCTTCTTTTTTCTACTTGTTTTTGTCTTCCCAGCACTGAGCACAGTGCCTGGCATATAGTGTACTTAATATGTTGATTGGATTGGATGATTGCACTGGAACATAGTAAGTGCTTAACAAATATTAGTTGTCTGACTGCCTAACAGTTCCAAAAGATGGTAAAGTCTAAGATGCAACCATCTTAAGTGTCTGAAGCATGGTGAAGAAATTAGAGTTGAGAAGATCAAAGGATTTTGTGATCAGGCTATTAAAAGCATCATCAATAAGAAGATGTAAGGTCTATGAATGATGACAGGCAATAAGGCAGAAGAAAAAAAAACAAGATTTGAGTCTTCCTCTCAACTATTCTCAAGACTTTTCTTATGGAAGGTGGCCAGATTCCTTTTCCTGTAGCCAGTATCTGTGATTATTCTTTTATTTTGTTTTGGTTTTTTGTTTGTTTGTTTTTGATGAGGTAATTGAGGTTAAGTGACTTGCCCAGGATTACACAGCTAGTGAGTGTTATGTGTTTGAGGTCAGATTTGAACTCAGGTCCTCCTGACTCCAAGGCTGCCCCAAGCCAGTGCCTATAATTACTCTTAAATTAAGAGCAACAGATGAGGATTTGCAGGTAGAAAATAAATATTCCTGTAATACATATCAAGAAGATAGAGAAACTTAGTCCTTTGAACAAAAGCTTTGCCATCTTGTATTTGAAATCTACTGACCTTCAATCAACAGAGATGACAGTGGTGAAAATGAGTGTCTCCCACTGAAAATATGAATGATTAAAATTGAAAGAAGATGATGGGTCACAGCCACTCTGATAAAGTTATTGTCCTTTTTTTTTTGAGCATCTACTCAACCAACCAACCACTAAACCATTTAATAAGTGACTGCTGTATGAAAGGTGATAGTCATTGAAAACAAACAATCTCTTCCCTCAAAGAGCAGACATTCTGTAGGGAAAAGTAACATGTTCATATAAAGTATAAACAAAATGCACATAAAATAAACATGAGATAATTGGAAGAGGTGGCACTAGTAGCTGGGAAGGATCAGGAAAAGCCACATGTAGAAGGTAGCACTCGAGCTCAGTTTTGTAGGAAACCAGAGATTCTAAGAGACAGTAGTGGGGACAGAATGTGTTCCAGGCATGAGGGACAGCCAATACAAAGGTACAGTGATGATGAGAAGAAAGAGAGAAAGAGAGAGAGAGAGAGAGAGAGAGAGAGAGAGAGAGAGAGAGAGAGAGAGAGACTATTTGGAACTCAAAACTTTTTTTAATTGTTTTAACATATAATTGGGGGGAAATAGAATATTTTTTAAAATGTGGGGAAATATTAATATAATAACATTAATAACAAAATCATTATTTTTAATAATTATAATAATATGATAATAAATTAATAATAAAATATTAATATAATAAGAATTATATTGATGTTCTAGTTAAATATAATGTCATATAGACAAAGCATAGCACAGTGGAAAGAGCAAAGAACTTGGAATGGGAGGACCTGCACTGAATCCTGAATTTGCTACCCATGTGTCCTTGGGTAAGTCATCTCACTTCTCCAGGATTTCAGTTTCCTCTCCTGTAAAATGAAGGGTGGGAATAGCTGTTTTCTGAAGTCCTGGCCAATTTTATGGAAACCAAGGGTTTCCAATGGCAGTAGAGGAATAAGCCTTCACTTCATTCAAACAAACTTTTATCTTGTAAGGCTTTGAGGACAGAAAGATAAATAAGAAACCATCCTTTTTGTCATGGAATTACATTCTAGTTGGGGAAATAATGCAGAAAGCTATGGAGTAATACAGATTAGGACAACTATGAGACATACCTTCATAGTAAGAAAGTTCTGTTTTTAGATATTATGTCCTTTTGTCAGGGATACCAGAAAAATCTATTATCTACCCAACATAAGCTCTTTGAGAGAAGGACTGTCTTTTATCTTTGTATACCCAGCAGCCATCACAGTATGCCTGACACATAGTAGGTGCTGAATAAATACTTGTTGATGGATTAATTTCTAATAGAGCAATACCTCTCCTAGGGTATTTACATTTATTGACTCTCCAGTAGAAGAATGTAAGCTCATTGAGGGCAGATGCTATTTTTTACTTTTGTCTTTGTATCACCAAAGACCAGAGCAATGCCTGGCACATGGTAGGTAGCTAATAAATAAGTATTTATTGAATTGAATCTACCTAATACTAGTAGTCTATAGGTGTCTTCTATCTCCCTGTAAATTACCATATATCCTTTAAAGCCCAACTTGAATGTCACCTTCTCCTTTACAATCCCACATTCTCCCCCCTGAGGGATGACTTGTCCCCTTGGACCTTTCACAAAGAATACTTTATTTTGCAGCTCTCTGATATACTTATCAGGTAATATCATATTTT